GAAATTTTATTTATTTATTTATTTATTTGAGAAAGAGAGAGAGAGCACGAGCAGGCGGAGGGGCAGAGGGAGAAGCAGACTTCCCGCTAAGCAGGGAGCCTGACATGGGGCTTGATCCCAGGACCCCAAGATCACTACCTGAGCCAAAGGCAGCCATTTAACCCACTGAACCACCCAGGAGCCCCTGCCCTTAAGCTTCTTAGAATTCTACTGTTTGAATGAGGATTCATAAGTCATATCCTTAAATCTTTAGAGGACTTTTTATCTAAATGAACAGTACTCTGAGGTAACTAACACCATCCCTCTTTCTTAGGTCTTGACAAAGGATTTTACAGCTATTCCCTTCACTTCACCTTTGGACTGTGTTTTCCTGGCATTGTCCTGCATTTAATCTTTGCTCAGAAGCCATTTCTTAATTTTAGCATCATATGCCACCTGGACAGGCTGGGGATTTTCAAAACCAGAAAGTTCTGGCTTCCTTTTGTCTAATAGTCCTTCCTTTACCTTATCTCTCTCTCTCTTTTTTTTTTTTTTTTTGTAGATTTTATTTATTTATTTGACAGAGAGAGAGAGAGCACAAGTAGGCAGAGAGGCAGGCCGAGGGAGAGGGAGAAGCAGGCTCTCCACTGAGCAGACAGCCTGACGTGGGGCTCCATCCCAGGACCCTGGGATCATGACCCGAGCCGAAGGCAGCCACTTAAGAGACTGAGCCACCCAGACGCCCCTACCTTCTCTCTTTTCTGATTTTACTACAAGTGGCAAACAGAGACCAGGCAGCCCCTTCCACATTCTGCATGGAGATCTCCTTAGCTAGATCACCTGATTCATTAGGTATGTTTTCCACTTTTCACCTTACTGCAGGCAATAGTGTTGCTAAATTTCTGCCAATACATAACAAGGACCCCTTTCTTTCAGTGTCCAGTAAGATTTTTATGATTTTCCTTTAGGCTCTCCCTTGCAGCTTCCTCAAAGGCCATCAAGACTACTATTTTTCGAAAGGCTCAAGTTTCACTAACACTCCCTCAGAGTCCTTCCACCTTCCACGGCTCTGTCCCAAAGTCACATTTTTAGGTTTTTTGTTATGGTAGCACTTTCAGGTACCACAACTTGTGTAAGTTATCTCTCGCTGCATAACAAGTTGCCCCCACAACTTAGTGGCTTAAAAGAACAAATATTAATTACTTCACAAGATTTCTGAGGGTCAGGAATCTGGAAGCAGCTTCGTTGGTTGGTTCTGGCTCTGGTCTCTCATGAGGTTTCACTCAAGCTGTTAGCTGGGACTGCAGTCAGCTGAAGGCTTGTCTGGGGCTGGAGGATCCATTCCAAGGTGGCACACTCTCATGGCTGTTGGCAGAAAGCCTCAGTTCATCTCCACATGGCTGCCTGAGGATACTGGCTTCTCCCAGAACAGCAGACCCAAGACAGAGGAAGAACAAGCAGGAAGCTGTGTTGCCTCTTATCACCAACACTCTGAAATCACACACTATCATTTCTGCTTTATTCCATTCTTTAGAAGCGCTAAGTCCAGCTCACACTCAGGCAAAGGGGAATTGGGACCAACCTCTTGAAGAGAGCAGTGTCAAAGAATATGTGGGCATGTAAAGACCACCACCACCCACGTTCTTCTCCTTGCCCTCTACTCCAAGGGGGAGAGTGGAGTTTTCACTTTTCCTGTCTAGGCACTGTTCCTCTGTTTGAGATTTTGATCTCCTTCTCACTCAGTCGCAGAAATTCAGCCACTTAATTGTTCCTCCTATATATTTAATCTTTCCCTCTTATCTTCATGCTTTCCTTCATGCGTTCCTCCTATATATTTAATCTTTCCCTCTTATCTTCATGCTTTCCTTCATCTTGCTGTAAGACTTCATGCTTAAGTCTTTTTCTTTTAAAAGATTTTATTATTTATTTGAGAGAGAGTGAAAGTGAGAGAGATCACAGAGCTCTGGAGAGGGAAAAGCAGACTCGCCGCTGAACGGAGAGCCAGATGTGGGGCTCGATCCCAGGACCCGGGGTTCGTGACCTAAGCCGGAGGCAGTCACTTACCTGCCTGAGCCACCCAGGCGCCCCTATTTTTAAGTCTTTACCCATATCCCCTTCTAGCTAATACCCTCTTTCTTTGCCTGTAGTAGTTTTAAGACATGTCCCCAAATTCTCTGACATTCTTCCCATTAAGAGATAGCAGCTATGACCCCTTCTGCTTGAATCTTGGTAGGTTGCGACTACTTTTCCCAATGAGATATGGCAAGTGAGGCGCCGTAAGTTCGTTGATAGGTATAAAAGATAACACAGCTCCTTCCTAGTTCTCTTGGATAACCCCTCTTGGTATGCTCTCTTGTGAGGACCCTCCCTCTCAGAACCCAGCCACCATGCTGCAAGTGGCCCAAGGCACACCAAGAGGCTACGCGTAGGTGTTCCAGGTAACAGTCACAGCTGAGCCAGTTTTCAAGGGATCCCAGTCTTGGTGCCAGACCTGTGAGTGAAGAAACCGCCAGATGATTCCAGTTCCCAGGAGTTCAAGTCACTCCTAGCCATCTGGGTCTTCCCAGCTGAAACTCCAGACATTGTGAAACAGAGACAAGCCATCCCTGCTGTGACTTGTTCAGTTCTTGATCCACGGAATCCCTTAACATAATAATACAGCTTCGTTTTATGCCATTAAGTTTGGGTTGGAACTGGAACATCCCCTTTATACCCAAATCTCTCTAGAGTTGTTTCTTCTTGGGGTGCCTGAGTGGCTTAGTTGGTTAGGCGTCTGCCTTCGATTCAGGTCACGATCCCAGGGTCCTGGCCATGAGTCGGGCTGCCAGCTCAGCGGGGAGTCTGCTTCTCTCTCTCCCTCTGCCCTTTGTGCTTGCTCTCTCTCTCAAATGAATGAGTTAAATCTTAAAAAAAAAAAAAAAGTCGTTTCTTCTCATTACCTCTGTTTCTTTATTCCCTACTTATTCCTCTAATCTGGATTTTGCTCCTTTCTTTCAAGGTTAAGTCTTCTGAAGTCAATGATCTCCGAGTTGTTAAATCTAATAGACATTTTCTCTTAGCCTATCAAGAGAAGTATTTAACACTATTGTCCAGTTCTTCCTTTTGGAGTCACTCTTCTCCTAGTTTCTCTGACACCACCCTAGGTGGCATCCCAGGCCACTTCCTTCCTCTCTAGTTGCTTCTCGGTGTCATTTGCAATTTCACCTTCCTCCAACCAGCCACTGGGTGATGAAGTGGCGGCAGCTCGGTTCTAAGCCTTCTCTTCTCACTTTGTATTCTCTATCCATACCCATGGTTCTAATTCCCCTCCATAGGACATCAGTGACAACATTTTATCTCTAACAATTCTATCTGTTAAGCTCCACACCGTATGTCCAGATGCCCTCTTAACATTTTGTACTGGTCAGGGTTCTCAGTTGCACAGACTGGCCATGGCTGATTTAAGCAGAAATGGATGTATGAAAAGTTCACAGAATCCCAGAAAGAGGAGAGTACAGGGGTTGGAGCCTCTGCTAAGCAGGCAGAGACAACAGCCAAGTCATAGCACAGAGCTGGTCTGGTGAGGATACCGACAGGGCTCTCAGCAGAGACCTGGTAGCTGCCACCACTGAGCCCCAGCCCTGGACAGTGGATGCTGCTACCACCAACAGCCCTCCCACGATGGCGCCTGGAGATACGATCTTGCTGTAGCTGTCACCACTGCAAGAAAAGTTTCTTTGAGGTTCCTCCTTCTTGGTCTCATAGCTCCCTCTTCAAAGTCCCTGGTGTGTGCATCTGATTATCAAAGTGTGGAGCATGGGCACTGTCCTAGCTGTGGGGATTCTGGGAAAGCAAGTCACTGGCATTTCCAGATTCTATTAGAAGGCAGGTTCTACCTGCCACCGATTAATCACAAGGTTAGGATTCTCCAAATATATAAGTGAGTTTCAGAAGCTAGGAGGGGGAAGGTGAGGAGGAAAAACTCCTATTACTTCTTCCTTGCAACAAAGTGTTTATCACCGATCTGATGTGCTCTCCTGAGGAACAAGTTTGTAGAACTCTTTTGCATGTTTTAATTAACTGAGGCTGAAATAAAACCTTGCGCTATAACAATGCCCAGGTCTTTCTGGGAGAATTCTCAATGGGGATGCTTGCAGAGTAGCTTGAATACATCCAACCCTCCTGATACTTAGTGGTTTTCAAACATGTTTCCATCTACCTGTTCAGAATGTGAAGGAATGCAGCTAAATAGCAAAACACTTTACAGTAATAAGGAAGTGACATTAAGAGATCGTTGTGAATATTTTGTATCCCTCTCCTAGGACATCCGATCCTCAAAATGCATAGCTAATTGTTGATGGAACCAAAACAATGAGCTTTGTCCAGTTTGACTGAGTATGACATAGAAGAGGAAGCCATAGAAAAATGAAAGGTTTTGACATTCCCCCCCCGCCAGTTTTATTACATCACAGTGCTTTTCAGTACCTGACCCAACATAAGGAACTAGAAACTAATTTATAGAATTCATGTTTCTGTAGTTGCAGTGAAAATTCAGTGATTTAAGATTTTAGAAAATATATAACCTGTTTGCACTTAGGGTCATAAATATGTCAAAAGAAAGTCGACGTACAATGAATTTTTGTATTCGAAAACACAAAATCTGCCATTTTTACTAGTTTTATATTTTCTCTGAACTTAAGCAAGAATTACTTTCTCTTATCTCAGACTCTCTGGGTTTTCCTCTTCAAATAGAATGCTTGTGACCTGTAGAGGTTTAGAAAAGGTTATCCCCAACCAAAACAAGTGCTTCAATAAAGGGAAGAATTCTGTGAAATCGCTTACATTTGACGTTGCTAAACTTAAGTACAATAATGTCACATGTACTTATACAGTAATTGTGAGCACGCCTAAGTCCCTCCCTCTTTCCTAAACCAAATTCCCCAGATCCTAGAAATCCAGCCCTTCTGCCCTGCGGAGGCGCCTTTCCCAACGTAAAGTACAATTTTAAATTTAAGCTCCTGACTATAATGATTCCGTGGTCAACTGCCAGGGGACCTGGGCACCCCGGCGCCTCTGGAGGGTGCAGCGGGGTGTAGGCAAGGGCAGGGGGAGTGGGCGAAGCTGTGGTTGGTGCCTGAAATCTGTGCGTTGCCCCTTTAATTGTGTCCCCAGCCCTCGGGCGTTTCTGTCCAACGCCCACGTCAGCAAATACCTTTTGTTTCTCTCACGTTGGGGCTACTTGTTTTAGGGCGCAAAGGAGCGGCTTCGAAAGTGGGTATTTCCCCTGCCGAGGACCAGGAATCGCCCCCGAGCCCGCGCGCGCGACCCGCCGGTGCGCCGCGGCCCGCGGTAAGTGGCTGCGCGCGGCGCGGGCGGAGGGCGGGCGGGGCGTCGGGGCTGCCGGGACGGGCCGCGAGCCTCGCTGCGGGCGGAGGGCTGGCGGCGGGCGGCGGCGGCGGCGGGATGCGGCCCGGACGCGGCGCCCCCAGACGTCCCCCGGGCCGGGAAAGCGGCGGGAGGCGCAGAGGCGGCCGGGCGCCATTTGCAGCCCCGGGCGCAGAGGCGGCGGCGGCGGCGGCGGGGGCGCGCCGGCTCCGAGGGGCTGGGGACGGTCACAAAGGCGGCGCGGGCGGCGGGCGGCTGGCGGCGGGGTCCCGGCCTCGGGGCGGCGGCCCGCGGGGACAGGCGGGCGGCGCCGGGGCGCACCGGCTCGGGACCCCGCGGCCGGCCCTCCCCGCGGCCGCCCGGCCGCCCCGCCCGGCCAGCCCCTCCTGCGCGCCCGGGAGGGGCTGCGGGACAATGGCCGCGCCGTCGCCGCCCGCGCCCGCCTCGCCGCCCGCCCGGCCCGGCCCGCCCGCGGCGCGGGGAAAGGCGGGAAGGCGCGCGGAGCCTCCTGGCGGCGGCGGCGGCGGCGGGAGGGCGGCGCGGGGACGGTGCCCGGCGTGTGTGGAGCCGTCGGGCGCCGCGGACTGCCGGAGGGTCGGCGGCCGGCCGGGCTCGGGCTGCGCGGCGAGTGACGGGCGGCCAGCCCAGTGGGGCGGCGGGGGGCGGGCGGGCCGGGGTCCCGGCGCTGCTCCCCGGCGCCCCGGGCGCTTCCTCGGGAAGGTGGCTTCCTGGGCAGTAGTCCGACTTTCCCCTCCATCCTCCATCCTTTGGTTTTATATCGTGATGCAACAGATCCGGGCTTAGAACCGAAGGCAGACTTGCTACACCTACCACATATTGAGCCATCATTTTTGGTTTATGACGGAACCGCACAAACGCACCTTCTATCCGTGTAGACTGCCTCTTTTGTAAGTTAGTTAGCGGTTTGGCCCCTTCCCCTTCCAATGCGCTTATTTCGCATTGATTGTGCCAGTAGCCAGACTCCACATCTTTCCAAGACGTGTTAGGTTTTCTTTCCTTCTCTCTCTCCTTTTTTTTTTTTTTTAAAGAGAGATATAATTGATATAAAACATTGTGTTCGTTTTCGTTTAAGATGTCTTTGGAAGCAGTAGATTCCCACCTAGTGGGCTTTTAACTACGCACGTCAGTATTCTCTTCTCAATAAACGTTTCTGTTTGCGGAAGTTTATTTAGTAAATGGAGTGCCTTCACCTGTATGAATTATTTCACTTAATTTCACATAAAACAGCCACCCAGTCAGGTCGATGGTTAGTCTACTTTCCAGATGAGGAAATGCATTAAGTGCAGAGTGTAAGCGTTAAACCAGAAGGTGAACGATGGCAGTCTTCCAACGCCCTTGCCTCCTGTTCTTGTTCTTCATTCCCTCCTAAAGGCACCTCCAGAGTCTTCTGCAAAGCAAGTCGGTCACTTTGCTTCCCTGCTCTAAAAACCTTCACTGATCTTTATCGGAAAAAAAGTCCGAAATCCTCAACAGGAGAGCTAAGGCTCAAACTTCCTCTCTAGTCCCACCTTCCCCAAGCCTCAAGTGTGGGTGGGTTTGTAGGACCCCTGGAGCAAGAGCTCTTGGCTGATAACCAGGGATCAGAGATTTTTATTCCTGGGAACCTCCCAGGCCACACCACTGGTAGATTCGAAGTGAGAATCTAACCTGCCACCCTTGGCCAAATGGGCACGTGTGGGTTAGACTACAAGATGTCAGCAGGAAGCATCTGGAGTACCAGGGCTCCTTCCAGACCATGTAAATTTCTGACCCGGTGATACTTGATTCATCCTCTATAATTTAAGTCTTATTTTCTATTTGAAACTGGGTTTCTGTTAAATAGGCTTAACCCTTTCAGTGACATAATTACATGTTTATAATATTTAAAGGATTTGATGTAAGTTTTTTTGATCCCCTCGAGGGAAGTTTTTGTCACTTCTTTGCTCAAAAATGGTCAGTGCCTCCCCATTTTCAGTGGTTCCCATCTTACTCATTTTAAAAGACAAGGCCTTATAAAAGCTGGTCCTATGATGTCCTACCTGCTGCATGGTCTGCCCTCCTTGATGCTCCTCCAGGCCTCCTAGCCTGCTCTACCTTAGAGCCTTTACCGTTCCATCTTCCTGGAACACTCTTCCCCTAGATACCACATGACTATCTCACTTCCTTTGGACTTTACTTAAATGCCAACTTCTCAATGAGACTTGTCCCAGCTATGGTTTCAATTCTCTTAAACGTTTTTATACTTAATTCTAAATCTTTCCAGGGTTCAAAGATGTTCATCCAAAAAGGAATACAATTACCATGCTAGTTAGCTCTAGTTCTTTATGACTCAGGGATTTTTGCTAAGGAAGCTAACGAGATGGTTTTGGTGACCCTGATGGGACATACTAAATTCTAGTTTAATGACTATATATCTTAAAAGAGATGGCATTGGAGCCCACAGTCTTTTTTTAAATTTATTTTTTATTTTTAGAGAGGGTAGGGAGGGGCAGAGGGAGAGAGAAAAAGAATCCCAAGCAGGCTCCACGCCTGGCATGGAGCCTACCAGGCTCGATCTCACAACTCTGAGATCATGACCTGAGCTGAAATCAAGAGTCAGACGCTTAACCTGCTGAGCCACCCAGGCGCCCCAACTTAAACCTTTCTTAATGACTTGAGTACTGTTGTGAATGCAGGTTATGTTAATGTCCTGTGGATGTAAATATTACCATGTTGTAAATGAACCCAACTTACAGGACAATTCCTGTTTTTTTGTAGAAGGCCCTGTTTCTGCTCCTTCCTACCGCTCTGCTGCTTGTCCTAGTTCAGCGCCTCACCATTTCTTGCTCTGACAATTACATTAAGCTTGAAATTGGTCTCTCTGGCCCTGCCTTTCCCACCCGTTTCTCTCCCTCCATGCTGTTTCAAGTTTTTGTCTGGGTATGCAGATTGGATCATCGTAACAATAATACCTAATATTTATTGAGCCCTAGTTGCATGCCAGGCATTGTGCACACGCTATGGTCAGAAGAAGAGTGCAAGACTCAGGGGTGCCAGTTCGGGGTCAGTCAGCCAGAATTCCAGTCTCTGTTCACTTGCTCCTGTTCAATTTTGGAAAATTTTTGAAAAATTTCCCTATGGGTCAGTTTCTTCATATGGTGTGGATCGCAGCAGCTCTTCCTTCGTGAGGCTGTTGTGAGGACCACAATGAGATGAGTATACAGTGTTGAGCATAGCACCAAGTGAACATTCAAATATTAGCTATTTTCATTGAGATATAACTCATGTGTCATAAAATTCACCCTTTTAAAGTAAATTCAGAGGGCGCCTGGGTGGCTCAGTCAGTTCAATGTCTGACTCTTGGTTTTGGGGTCATGATTTCAGGGTCATGGGATTGAGCCCTGCTTGGGGCTCTGTACTCAGCGTGGAGTCTGCTTGAGATTCTCTCCTTCTCCCTCCTCCTCTGCCTCTACCCCCCCTCCCCAGAGTCTTGCACACTTGCTTGCTCTCTCAAATAAATTAATAAATAAAATCTTAAAATAAAGTGTAGGGACGCCGGGGTGGCTCAGTTGGTTCTGGGATCGAGTCCCTCGTCGGGCTCCTTGCTCGGCGGGGAGCCTGCTTCTCCCTCTGCCCGCTGCTCCCCCTGACTGTGCGCGCTCTCTTTCTCTGACAAATAAATAAATAAAATCTTTAAAAAAAAAGATTCTTCCATGTCTTTAAAAAAAATAATAAAGTGTACAATTCACTGTTTTTTTAGTGTATTCGTAGAGTTGCACGACCATCACCACCCTCTAATTCGAGAACATTTTCACCATAGTATAAAGAAACCTCGTACCCATTAGCAGTCATTCCCCGTTCCCCATTCTCCCTACACCCATGACAACCACCAACCTACTCTGTCTCTATCATCTGCCCATGCTGGACATTTCATTTAAATACTATCATAAAATCTATGGTCTTCTGTAACTAGCTCCTTTCACATAGCTGGAGGTTTTTAATGTTCACCCATGTTCTAGCAAGTATCAGTCCTTCGTTCCTGCTCATGGCTGAATAATGTTCAGTTGTATGGATGTGTCACATTTTGCTTACTATTCACCAGCTGATAGACATTTGAGTTGTTTCTATGTTTGGGCTATTGTGAATAATGCCTCTGTGAACATCTGTGTACAAGTTTTTTTGGAGACGTGTTTGCATTGATCTTGTGTATATATCTAGGAGTGGAATCACTGGATTATATAACTGTTTTTTAATAGCTTTATTGAAATACAATTCGTATACCATACAATTCACCTATTTAAAGTGTAAAATTCAGGGCGCCTGGGTGGCTCAGTTGGTTAAGCGACTGCCTTCGGCCCAGGTCATGATCCTGGAGTCCCAGGATCGAGTCCCGCATCGGGCTCCCTGCTCGGCAGGGAGTCTGCTTCTCCCTCTGACCCTCCTGCCTCTCATGCTCTCTGTCTCTCATTCTCTGTCTCTCAAATAAATAAATAAAATCTTTAAAAAAAAAAAAAATAAAGTGTAAAATTCAGTGGTTTTTAGTCTATTCGTAGATACGTACAACTGTCACCACAGTCAGTTTTAGAGCATTTTCATCACCTCAAAAGGAAACACTTTAGCTATCAGGCCTCTCATCTCAGCCCCCTCCCTACAGCCCCTCCTCCCAGCCCCAGGCAACCAAGTATCTACTCTCTATTTCTATAGATCTTCCTATTCTGGACTTTCATATGAATTGAGTCATATAGTATGTGGTGTTTTGTGATTGGCTTCTTTCACTTAGTGGAATGTTTTCAGAGTTCATCCATGTTGTAGCATATGTACCAGTACTTTAGTCCTTTTCAAGGCTGAATAACATCCTATCATATGGATATTCCATTTTCCCGCTGATGGACATTTGGGTTGTTTCCATCTTTTAGCTATTACGAATAATGCTGCTACAAATGTTTGTATACAGATTTCTGTGGGGACGTATATTTTCATTTCTC